CACATCATCTCCAGTTTCTCTTCTCACTGGTAGAACTGGGCAGCAGAAGGTCCTTAGCCCAAAGCAAATGAAAGCCCTTTCCTGTACTACCATTGCAATGGGCCCTGGGCTGAAACTCTCCCTCAAGAGAGGCTCCAACCAGCTGGAAGCACATTTGCCAACAGTGCAATTGATCTTCAGCTGCCTTTAGCCTAAAGAAACTCTTTCAGACATCTAAAATCGCATCTGATTTCATAACAGACTCCTCTGCAATCCCCACCACTTTGCCTGCTCTCAACCCTGCCCAAAAAAACCCAAAACCTAAACCAAAAAAAGCCCACCCAAACCCACTCGTGATGAAGAATGAAGTGGCTCAGAAGAATAAGCTGATTTGACACCTCCTCCTGCAAGTCCTGCCAGCCAACTCCTGCAGCAGCCTTGCTCTGCAGCACCCTGTAAGCAGGATCTGCAGCCAAGTCAGGGGAGAGGGAAGAGGTGGAGGAGGGAGCAGGGAAGGCTGCTCACATGGAAAGCCAGGGCTATTCCTGCTGCCCACCCTGGAGGCACCACCTCTGCGTCAGGCAGGAGTATCAGAGGGAGAATCTGGCTCTCTGGATTTAACAAGCTCACTTTTCCTTTAATTGAGGCCCTCGGGCACTACTGTAGTCCACCTAATGGCACTAATCATTAATGAATCTTCTTGGTGAATAGGAAGGCTGAACTGTTCTCTCTCTCCTTAGGTTGTCAGCCCTTCACAGAACTTAGTGGGTTTCACTGGGTAGGACAGCAACTGCACAGATTTTAAAAGGACTCTGGAGAGGAAGAGGGCTGGAACAGCCACTGATCCATTCATCCCTAGACTGTGCAAATGAGCCAAAGACCTACAGGAACTGGCTGCTTCCTCTGAGATGTAGATATAGGCACCAAAAAGTCCTGTCAGAAATGGATACTGCACTTTATTTCATACCATGCCTCCCTGCTCCTTCCATAAGCACCAACCAGTTTGCTCTCACTATCACTCAGATTTTTCCTGTTTTGTGTGTCCTGGCTCAAGCTTTTGCTCCCAGCACAGGCCCACTCCATCTCCCTGTTACAGCCTTTGAACAGATGGGAAAAGGTCTCTTTTTTTTTTTTTCTTTTCCCTTAAAGCAAAAATAATCGACCGCCACCACCTCAGCCCAGTGCTGGCAGGGTCTCGCCGTGTCGGAGGGCAGCCCGAGCCGGGCCAAGGTGCAGCTCTCCCTGCAGGGCTCAGCCAGGCTGCTAAAAGGGGGAGGAAGGGAGGGAGGAAGGGAGGGAGGCAGCAGGAGAGCAGCCGCAGGCCAAGCACGGGTGCATCCGGCGCTGCCGGGGAAGAAGGAGCCAGCGCTCTGCAGCCCTCCGGGGACTGCGGGGCTGCGGTTGCTCAGTCGGAGCTGGGAATAGGAATTAGGGCAGGCAGAGCCGCAATGGCTGCAACTCTTCCTGATTATCCAGCCAGCTAGAAATGCACTGGCTTGTCTTTTGTTTCAGCTGCGGGTTTTTCCTGTTGATCTGCATTTATGTTTTGTTTTGTTGGGTTTTTTTTCCCCTTTATGCGTGCGTGTGTGGGCATTTTCTTTTAAGCAGAAGAGATAATTTTACTGTGGTCACTGTCAGGGTTTAAACGCTCTTCTGTTGCGTTTTTCCCCTCTCCAGTTCACCAGCTCACGTTCTTCCGGGAGTTAAGAAGGGATGTTAGAGGCTTGAACCTCTTCCAGCTCTTGCTACAGCAGCCGCTGCCTGGGGCAGCGGGACCAGCCTGGCAAGAGACAGCCCAGCCTTTCCCGCAGCCTTTACAAACCCTACAGGTGCAAGGCGGCAGGAGGCAAGTCCAGTACACTCAGTCCTTTTCTGGGACTTGGCGGAGGGCACATGTTTCCTTGCCCACACAACATGGCAAGGCAGAGCAAACATCCATCCCTGCGGTCGAGAAAATTAAATACATAAAATCGACCATGGCACTCAGGCTTCAGAAGCGGCCCTTGAAAGGAGCAGAAAAGGGAACAAGCAATGCCTTGCGCATTGGGGGGCTCTTATAAAATGAACGGGCGGGAGGGAAGGGCGAGTTTGTTGGTTGCTCGTGCTCCCCGAAAAAAACCACGGAGCTGTAGGCGGGAATAGCCTCGCTTGTGAGTTTGTCCAGGGAGAGCTGAGCCGGCTGGACCGGAGTTTGCTGCCGTCCTGCCGCCTGTGCGGGAAATCCCGGGGTGCAATGCAGGCTAGTGCATCCCGGCTAGCTCGGCAGGCCCGGTGGCCGGCCTGTGCCCCTGGGGTGAGCTCCCGACAATTATTAGCCCAAAACAGCAGAGTCCAGGAGGACACAGAAGGGAGGAAAGGGGGCCGGGAACGACCACCGGGCACCCTCCCCACCAGCTCCACTGTTTTTCACTGGTTTGCCACCGTTAGTTATTCTCCTCAACGGAGGGTTAATTGGGGGATGTGCTAATTACAGGGAGATTATTCATTAGTAATTGAACTTCACACGAAAATAACTCGAGTCCGCTAATGAGCTGGAAATCGCCCCCTTATTAGGGGGTTTCAGCTTTCTTCTGTGGGGTGAGGGAAAGCTGGCAGGCTCCCTTCCATCGTGCTCCGACGGACGGGCACTGTCCAGCAGCCGGGAAGGCGGGGGCGGCGGCGGGAGCGCGCCCGGAGCCGAGCCGGGGGATGCCGGCAGCGGGCGGGACCAGCTCCCGGGCACCCCGGGGCGGAGCGGGGCTCTTTGCCGGCCGCTGGAGGGGATCCCCGGGGCTCAGCCGGCACACACAGCAAGCTGAGGAGCCCCTGGTACCTCAGCAAGGGCTTCCTCTCCCCTCTCTCCTCGGCATCTGGCATTTCGTGCTACAGGAAACCATAACAGCAGCGCCTGACCTCATGAATACAGAGATGTGCGCAGAAAAATCAATTTAGGTCTAGATCCTCTGTGGGGAGGGAAAATAACCCAAACCATTTAAACAAAGCTCTGCTCTCCAGGGTTTTCCTTTTTCTTTGGTGTTGGTGGGGATTGAATCTAGAGGGAGGCCAAAGCAAAACGAAATTCAAGCAGACCTGTGTCTGCCGAAGCGAGGCTGAGCTCTGCAAAGCCCCCCCCAACACACGCATAATGTATTTTATCATTAAAAAATCAACATTGCTTCCAGTGGTAAAGGCGCCTGGCTCCAGTTCCTGAGCACATTCGTTGCTGGGATTCAATCCGTTTGGGAAATGCAGATTGGCTTGCGACCCACTGTTTGATTTATGAACTGTTACATTTGCTATTGCTTACACATTACATTGCGGACCTTGGGAAAGGAGGGAGCAGGGAGAGGGGGCGAAGGAGAGACTCTGCCACCCTACACATTGGCAAAGGAGAGCTACCGCACAGGCAACGGCTCCCCACCGGAATAAATCACCTCGCACCAATTCGTGGTCCCTACCTCCCCATCGCCCACTCACCTACCCACCCACCCACCCCCAATCGCCAGCTGGGCTCTCCTCTTATAAGTAAAAAGGACGTGTTCACTATTTGATGTGTATTTCTTTATAAAGGCATCAGGCGTCTATAAATAGCCGAGGTTAGAGCAGCTTCTGCTGCGAAATCAATACCCCGTCCCCCCTTCCCCTTGCTCCTTCGGCTGAGCTGCCTTATTAATTATGAAAGGGCTCCTCTGCGCCCCGGCTCCGGCTCCGCAGCCTCCTCCTTAATGGTGGTTGCTGCCTTCCCTCGGCCGGGGCTCGGCAGCGCTCCGCGCCCGCGGGAGAGCCGCGCCGCCCGCCCCCTCTCCGCGCGGGGCTCCCTGCGCCGCTCCCGGGAAAACGGGGCTGCTGCGGTGCGCGGCTTCGGCGGGAGGAGGAGGAGGGTGGGAGGGTTTACAGTATTATTTTTAAGGAGCAAAAGAAAGGGGAAAGTAAAAAGAGGAAAAAAAAAAAAAAAAGAGAGAGAGAGAAAGGCTTCGACTAAGCCATTGAGGCACCCTGTCCTTGTTTGAACTGAAATTGCCGTGTTCGTCAAGGGATGGGTTCAAGATTTAGACTTCCTTGCCTTAAAAGTCCTGTCCTTTCCAAGATACTCTCGGCATATTTTATAAAAAGGACGACACCCTCATTTCAAACAATAATTTTTATTTTATACTTCTGTCTATACTTTGTAGCAAATCTTTTTTTGTTATTTTTTGCTGAATTGACTTTATAATAAACTTTTGTTTAAATTACATTTTTCTTCTCTTTTAAAATCAAGGCTCTTTTTTTTTTTCAAAATCATTTTGTTGTTGTTATTTTTTTTTTCCTTTAGGTTTACATTTAAGCCCCCTTTTTGTGATCTCTACGGTTGGATATTCAGGTATTTTACTGTTATGTGTAACATCTAAAACAAAGAGGAGGAAAAAATTAAAGGCAGTGAATTCGGAAAGATGCCTTCGAACAGCAAGTAAAGGTAAACTCTCAGAGATGTTAGCAGCATTCCGTCATTCCTCCGGGCATTTAGATACGTCTTTCTTTCTCTTGCTCCTTCCTTCCTTAGCTGTTCGTTTCCCTCTCTTTCTCTCCCTCTCTCGCTCTCTTTTCCCCTTGAGGAAAAATGTTCTTTTTTATTTATTTTTAATTTTTTTTTCCAGTGGAATGACCAAAAAAACACAAGCGACTGTGGAGGAAAGATGAGAGATTGTGAATTATTCACCATATGCTTCACACGTGGACATCTACCTTGGATTTCTCGCCAGTGCCTTTTCCTGTCTGCGGTTTTTGTTCTCGCCTCGCACACTGCCACATTTTTAGCGGAGCCCGTGGCTCGCCGGGAGGTACCCGGCCGGTTACAGCCTTAGCAGTAGGTGGCCCAGAGCCGTTCCTGAGATTGCGTTTGCACACCGAGGGCTCGAGTTAGTTTCTTTATATTTTTCTCTATTTTTGATTCGAAGCGATAGTAAAGCTGAGGTCCGATTTGGGCTGCGCGCCTCTGTCTGTTTGGTAAGATTTGGCAAATAAAACACAAAAAAAAAAAAAAAAAAGTGTTTCACCATCATCAGCCACCACCACCACCATCATCATCATCATCAACCACAGAAAAGCACAACGTCCCCAAAGCAACGGATGGACACTTCCTCTATAGATCCAGCACATGGAGAGGGTGTGGGTGTGAGTGTGCTCGCCCCCCTAGAAAGGCAGCCAGGTCACTAGGGCGGCCCACAGAGCCGCCAGGAGCAGGGGCAAGGCCGGCGGGAGGAGGGACGGTGCCGCGCCGCTGCCGCCTCCGCACAGTTCAAATAAGCTGCCTTGGAAATCGAGGTTTTTGGATTCCCGTCTCAATTTCTCCCAGAGGTCTGTCGCTCCTTCCTGGCAATCGGTGAGCGCTGTGAGGGTGCAGGCGTGGAAATCATCCCAGTACCTGCAGCAAGGGAGAGCAGCCGGCGTCAAAAGAGGCTCGCACCCACCTTCCCGGGGAGGAGCCGCCCCTCGGGCCCGCCGCCCCCTCCTCCGCCGGCGGAGCCAGCCGGGCGTGCCGAAAAGGGAGGCTGGGCCGGCGGGGAGGAGCCGCTGCCTGAGGGTTCGGGGGTCCCCCCCATCCCCAACCCCGCCTTCGGCGCCAGCCCTGTCAGGGTGCTGCAAAAATTGCTCTGCTGGGTTTCTGGCGGAGGGGTCTTTGCCTGACGGGGGGAGGGGACACGCACCCCTCGGCTTCCAGGAGCCAGCCCAGGAACCCGCGGGCTCGTCCCGAGGGTTTCTCGTCACCGGTGGGAGCTGGCAGATGGGGGTGGGAAAGGCACCCTTTGGGGTGCGGCGTGTAGAAACCCCCGGGAGGGATTCCCCGGGGCGGGAAAAGGCCCTTACTGCAGGAAAAGCTCAAGGAGGAAGAGTAGGAGAAGCAGGAAGGGTAGGAGAAGGAAGAAGGAGCATTTTCCGCTTCTGGGAGCCTCGCACCGACCCGCAGCACGGCAGGGGTAGCGAGCTCTGATCCGTGGCCAGGGGTCTATAGGCAGGGAAGAGATTCGCTTTACTAGGATAATCTCCAGCCATTCGCACAAACTTCCCTTTTTTTTTTTTTTTTTTTTTTTTCCAATTCCTTTCTTCACGGGGACTGGACCCGCGTTTGTCGCCGGGGCAGACACCCGTCGTTCCATGGACCGCATGGGGAGGGTAGTGGGCGATCTTTCCTCTCCATGTCTGGGTTATCGAAAATCACCCCGAATCTGCCCTCCGCCTTCTATTTCCCCCACGCCTCAAGGCAGACGTCTGCGAAACTGGGTCTTGATTTTTTTTCTTTTATTTTCTTTTTTTTTTTTCCAAAGTAGTCTTACTGTCTCTAATTTATGAGCACTCTAAGCTGGTTGTAGACTCCCAATGTTTGCTACATTTGTAATAAATAATGAGATACTGAGAAGCCACAGTCTGAGAGTGTGCCTCTCCTGCAGTATTTCTGCTGTAATTGCATCTCCCAAAGGAAAATTAAATCTTTCACCATCTTTTTTCAATACACATCCCGGCACAGGGCGAAGGCAATCGGATGGTGGAAGGTGGTCGGGAAAAGGGTCTTTCTTAGAAAATAATTATCTTTAGAGATCAGGATCACATTTGATCTGGCACTCGAGGGCATAAGATACCATATCAGGACGCTGCTGCCCCTGGGTATTTATTTCTCTTCCAGGACACAAAGTAAACCTCAGCCCAGCATTTACAGAGAAGTGCCAGCCTTTTTAGGGGTTTGACTCAGAAATCTCTAGGGACAGAGGAGTGTTACAGAGTCTCTTCACACTTCCTCTTTTTCCTTTCCTTTCCTTTCCTTTCCTTTCCTTTCCTTTCCTTTCCTTTCCTTTCCTTTCCTTTCCTTTCCTTTCCTTTCCTTTCCTTTCCTTTCCTTTCCTTTCCTTTCCTTTCCCTTTTCTTCTCACCTTCCCATTTCATGTCTTTTGTTTCCTGATTTTTGCGGAGCAAAATAAAAATCCCAAACTATCCTAAACTTATTTATGTCTAAAGATACTATCTCGTTTCTAAATATTTTTTTTCTTCTTTTTTTTTTTTTCTTGAATGTGATGACAGGAATTACTACATTTACTTCCCCAAACTATTCTAAACTTATTTATGTCTAAAGATGCTATCTCGTTTCTAAATATTTATTTTTTCTTCTTTTTTTTTTTTTTGGTTGGGTTTTTTAAACGGGTGGGTTTTACACTGAAAAAGGGAGAAAACACCCTGTGCTGCAACCGCTTGCTTTTTTTTTTTTTTTTTTTTTTTTTTTTTTTTTTTTTTTTAATGTGTGTGGTTTGGGTTTGGGGGTTTTTTTTGATTTGTTATTTTGTGGCAGTTTTTTTCTTTTTCCTCCCAGACATATCGAAAATGCTCGACTTTTCTTCCCTGTGCGGGACATGATTTTGCAAGGCAAGCTCTTTTTCTCCTCTTAATATTTTTGTTGCTGTTGTTATTGCTATTATTATTATTATTATCCTTCTTTATCGTTGCCCTTTCCTTCTTGTCCCTTCTGTGCCAGGGGCAAGGCGAAACTGGTGGCAAATGGGTTTTCCTGGGGCCATGGAGGTGGCAGGAGAGAGCTGGCGCTGGGACGGCCACCTCTCTGTCGCTAGGCGATTCATATCATGACAGGGCTCTTCCCTTTTTAATTAAGTTTTGTTTTCCGAGGGGCCTCCTCCCCAGAGCCGGCTGTGCCCGGCCGGGGTGGGCAGCCTCGCACCGGCCTCGGGGGGAGCCCGGAGCCCGCCGGGTGAGCGTGTCCCACAGGCAGCAATAAGGAAAGGGATAACGATCCCCGGGCAGCTAATGTCAACACCCCAGTGCAGATCGGGGCAAGGGAAAGAATACGAAAGAGGAGCTAATTAGGGAAAAGAAAAAAAAAACCAAAAACAAAACAAAACAAAAAACAACAACAACAACAACAACAACAAAACCAAAACCAACAAGCACTGAGAAAACAAACCAGAAAAAAAAAAAAAAAAGAAAAGAAAAAGAAAAATCCCAACCCAAACCAAACCAAACAAACCTCAGATTCACGGAGGCAAAAAAAAAAAAAAAAAAAAAACCAAGACGTAGTAAAAAATTCCCTCCAGACTTCTCTGTTCCCCAAGCCCGGCCTGTCCCCGTGGCAGTGAGCTTGGAGGGACCCTGGAGCGGAGAATCCAACCCCAAAGCGTAACCCCGCTTTACTTGTGTTCCTTCCCTCTTTCCCGCCACCATTCAGCCTCGCCCCCCTTGCCCAGCCCCGGGTGACCCCCACTGTCCCCCCGCGGCCCCGAAGAAGAGAGGAAAGACCTACGCGCAGATCGTTTGGAGATTTCTCTTGTCGTCCAGGTCCTGCGGGTAGTTGGCCATGTTATCGCCCAGCCGCAGCAAACAATCCGAGAAGCCCCTAAAGACCGCATCGCACCGCCCCGCCGCTCTCACCGCCTGCACCAGGTACGCTGCGGGGGCAGGGGCACAGGTCAGCACCGCCGGCCCCCGCCCCCGGCCCGTCTCCCGCCGCGCCCGACTCGCCCCTTCCCTTCTCCTCCCCCCCGCCGGCCCCCAGCCCTTGCTAAAAGCGCGACCCGGGGCAGGAGAGGGGCGGTGGGACCGAGCCAGGCTCGGCATCGCACTCGAGGAGGTGAGCCAGGGGCTTTTCGCCCTTTTCGTTTTTAGTACCGGCGGGTTAGGTGTCTGTGGATTAGCGGCGTTGCTTTCATTAAATTTTTTCCTTTTTTTTTCCCTCCCTTTTTTGTCTTTAAGGGGAGAGGAGGAGGGGAGGTGGAGATGCGCTGCCTGCGTCTCCCCGGACTTGATCCTTTGTTAGAAAATTCCTCCTGGAAGCAGCAGGAGCGTTTCTCCGTACAAACGCAGGCGCACGCACAAGCTCCCTATTGCCCAGGTCGCTGGGCAAACACCGTGCAAGGCGCAGAGGGGAAAAAATTAAATTAAATTAACAATAATAATAATAATAATAATAATAATAATAAAATCGCTAGAAAGAGCTGCGATAGAGACACTCAAAGAAGGGACCGCGAAATCACGCAGACAGCTGCTGGGGTGCCCACCCGGCCGTGCCTGTGCTGGGGGCGGCAGGGCGGGACCGGCCCCACTCCCCCAAACCCGCTGCCCAGGCATCCCTCGGGATGGCTCTAGCCAAGGGCATCCGGTTCAGTGCAACAGGAACCAACACAAGAACAACCGTCTGCAAAGGCGGGAAGAAAATGAGTTACGGGCTCCTCCTGCGTGCCCGAGAGGACACGGGACGGGACGGGACAGGACGGGACGGGACGTGGGACCCGAGCAAGGCCTGCGGCGCCGCACGGCATCCCGCACACGCCGCAGCCGCACGGCGGGCGGGGGTACCCGGGCACGGCGAGGGGCTGGCTGCCAGCCTCTCTCCTGCCCGCGGCGGGAGCCGGGCACGCCGCGGTGTCCCCAGGCCCGGGGGATGTCGCTGCGGCCAGCGGGGGCGGGAAGGGGCTTCCCCCGTCCCTTGAGGAGGAGCCCCTTGCCGCCCACACCGTCGGGCGTCGGGTGGGGACGCCTCCCGCATCGTGTCCCTAGGGAATGGCTGTGACGGGGTGTGTGTGCGTGTGTTTCCTTGCCGGGTACCGGTTACAAGCTAAATGGCTGACTCCGAAAGAGACAGTTTCAACCCAAATCCTCCTCTTGCTGTTTGATTCATCGCTAACATGACTTGGTGGCCACTCCCCTCTACACACACACACACACACACACACCAGCACCAGCCGCCACATCAAACCCCCAGCAGGCTCCAGACATTGGCTACGATAGGAAAAAAAAAAAAAAAAAGCCAGGCAAACAAATAGAGAAGAACCGAAGACCATCCCGAGGGTAAAACCATGTCCTATAAAACCCGCGCCATCTCGCTCCGGCAGCTACAGTGGAGGGGGAGTTGCCACGAATTTCTGCAAAAAAGTGTCGGGCTATGCTGAAAATCCGGGGTTCGAAGAGGAGCCCTGCCCCAGGCTGGGGCCAGGGGAGGCGGGGGGGGGTTGGCGGGGGTCACGTTTGGGACCAGTGGTGAGCCGAGCATCCCTCGCCCCCGAAGGGCAGCCCGGCCCTCTCTGCCCGTGCCGCTGCCTCCGCACGGGGTATCCCCGATTCTAAGCTGCCCCAAACCCCGCCAATAAATTAAACATATATATATAAGGAAGGGGGGAAAAAAGGGAAAAAGGCAAAAGCGGATAGACACAGTTCCTGTCTGATTCAAAGACAACGGGATTTCTCGTGAACTAGGTCGCTTGTGCCTTGCCGTTTCCACGACCTTCCACACCCCGCACCCCCACTCAAAGACAGCAGTGTGCAGCAATGTGCAATGCAGCAGGACCGCAGGAGCCCTCCGTGACGGACCGGGCCCCCTCCCGAAACCCATTCCCCGTTCTCCCGGTCCTGCGGCTGGTCTATCCCTCCTGTCCCTTCCGCGGAGACTGAGCCCACCCCAACCCCCAGCTCGGTCACCTCCCAAAATGTCAGGGATTTCGAACAGCTCCAATCTCCTATGCCTAAATCCTAAATAAATAAATAAATCCTCCCCCCCGCCCCCTCCCCCTTATTTTTTTTTTTTTTTAAAGTCCCGTTGCATAGACATTTTGGGAACGAGCCGAGCATCCATTTCACACGAGCCTTTACCGGGGACGGGGCAAAGCCGGTGGCCCTTCGCAAACCCCACACCGACAACCAGAATCTGATTCCGGGGGTGGGGAGGTGTGGAGGAGGTGGGGGGAAGGTTACCCTAAATACCGAAGGAGGAGCAGAGAGCAGAAAAGCCCTCCATGAGCTTCAGAGCTGTCCCCTTTCAGGGCACCGCAAAGCCACCGCACCGCCACCATCCCCTCGGTGTGCAGCAGTATTTGGGGGTAACTTTCCAAATGACTGCTCATGCTCATGCCAGCCCGGGAAAGGCATTTCCCAGCGACTCTAGCTGCCTTTTGAAATTTGAAATAAAATCCATCCTCGGCTGAACCAAATAAACACAACAAAAAGAAAATCTTCCTCCTCCTCCAAATGAATGAACGAACACACAAACAAAAATTGCAAGGATTGAAATTAAGGATAACATCCAAATAAAGCCTCCCCCCTTCTTTCTGTGACAGTACAAAAAACTGGTCCTGTGAAGAGTTCAGCCTTATTTAAAATGGAATGGTAATACGAATGTAGGGGTTTGCATCATTTAACCACATTTCCCAGAGGTCAACATTTCGTTGCACTATTTCTTCACACCCCCCCCCCCCCCCCCCCCCCCCCCAACAAAGAAGAACAAAATGCAAAAGTATTTCTGCCACCCCCCCCCCCCCCCCCCCGTTTATTAGATGAAGAAATGTTCAAGGTTTTTTTTGCCTCCCTTTTTAATTCTCCCCTCCTTTTAAATTTTTTTTTCCTTCTTCTTTCTTTGTTACCCATAAAATTCTGCAGAGGTTTTCTGGAGAGGAGTGTGACCGAGCAAAAGGACCTCTAAATAGCAATGCCGAGCTATTTTTTTTTTTTTAATTGTATCAGAATTCCTTTGCAGGGAAATATTTTCAAAGGGCTCTTCACACCTGACAGTCCAGATAATAAAAGACGTGCTTTAATCCCTTTTTCATTAAAACCCAGTTTTGGATCATGCTCGGGAATCTACATATCCAGCAGATAATTTAAATTATCTTTAAAATTTGCCTATACAGGACCAAAGTGGTCATTAACTTGGAGATTGTTTAGTGTCCGTAACTAAAAAAAAAAAAAATCTCAGGAAAGAAATGTATAAAATGAACCCGAGAGCAAACCAACAAAAGCAACCGGCGAAAACCCCAAGATATTGAACAAAACCGGCAACAAGCACACAAAATACACACCGGCATGGAAAGAAACCTGTTCTATTTTAAGTAACAGCATATATAGAATTTTTTTGGACCTGCTCGATTTTTGACAGGTCGTCTCCAAGCACAAAATTAACGACTGGGCGGTGGGACTCCGCGATTTTTAAAAGTAATTTTTATTTGTTTAATCGCTGCATTCGAGTTCATTGTTTCCTTTAATTTAGTGATGGGTTTTCTTTGGTTTTAAGATGCTCTACGAATGGGAAAACGCTCTGGTTCCCAAAGGGAGACCTTCGCTTGTCCCCCAGATTTTCTGCAAAAAAAACTTTCCAGCTAGATCTCTCGCAAGACATTTTGTCTCCGTTCTTTTTTCTCTGTCCCTCGGGGAGAGGAGGAAAATTTCTTAGCGCTGGAGTCACCAAACTGTAAGTGGAAGGGAATGAAGGGGACATCCGAAAACCAGATACAAACGCAACCGCTCGTGGGGACCGAGAGAAAAGGAGGGAAAAGAAGGAAGAAGAGGCGGAGGGAAAATAAAAAGCGAAGTATGAGTGAGCATGCACCACTTTAGCAAAAACGAAAACCAAAAGTGGTTTACGAGAAATCAGTAAACCGGCTCCCTTTCCTGCGGACTCCCCTGCCTTGAGAGCGTGCCGGAACGCGGAGCTGCGGCCGCGAAGGGAAGGCGGGGAGCGGAGCGCGGGGTCCCGCCGCCCGCACCGCGGCCCCCCGCGAGGGTTATCCCGGCGCTCCGCTCCTGCATGCATCAGCCGGGCTGGGGCGCGCACAACCTGACACGGAATTTGGCAGTCCACTTACCTATCTGCACAGCAAGGATCAGAGAAATATAACTGCCGTTCAACTTAAGTCCCATCCTACATTTAGTAGAACCATTTGCGGCTGCAGATCTTTAAATAGTTACTTTGGAGAACGTGGGGGAAAGCTGAAAAATAGACATTGCCAACAAGTTCCGAGCAGCGGAGGACTTTGCAGACAAGGGGGGGAGACAAGAGGAGAAGGAGAGGAAGAGGGAGGCAGCGGGAGAGGGCGAGGAAGGCTGGCTGGGAATGGTTCGCTCCATTAGGAGGGGGCGGAGGAAGTACAGCCTCACGCCCACCACCGGCCCTGACGTGGGGGGATGACACCGACCGGGTTTTTTTTCCCCCCTTCTTATTTTTTTTTTTATAAATGTGCACCTTGGAAGAGGAGCGCCATTTATAGGCATCACAGGCTGGATTTACCCGCTCTCCCCGTGACCCCCCGCCCCATAAATCGCCGAGAAACTCCCCCCGCTCCCCGCGTTCCTCCTGCCCCGTGTGGTGGCGATGGGGGCGGCAGCCGGGACCGTCCCCCCGGGGGCGGGAGCGCTGCGGGGGCGGGAGGGGACACACAGACACAGACACACAGACACACAGACGCACACACAGACACGCACACGGAGGAGCCGCCCCCCGGGGGTGGGGATAGCACGGCAGAACCCCCCCGCCCCCGGGGCCGCCCCGTCGGGGCTGGCCGGCCCGGCCCCCGCGCTGCGCAGCGTGCAGGGGGACAGGGACGTGCGGGGGTCCCCTCCCCCTGCCCGCCCCTCCCCCACCATGACGTCACCCTCGGGCTGAGGTTTGGGGGGAGCGAGGAAGGAGGGGGAATGGTCTCTCCCGGCCTTTTTGCCGGCGTTCAAGCCCGGCGGTGACACCGCAGAGGGTGGCGTGGAGAACGGGGTCACGCGTGGGACAGCCCGGGGGAGTCGCGGTGGGGCTGTCCTGCGGCTGGGACCATGGCACCCAGCCATCGCACCCCATCCTCTGGGGACAGGCTACAGGTGTGATGGGGCTGCGTGGAGGGCATGGGGCCGCCCGAGGCTCCGATGAGCCCTGCCGGGGATAAGGCTTGTTCTGGGGTACTCTGTCACCCGGGACTGTCCTCAAGGCCATCCTCTCCAGCAGCACGAGGGGGACCTCAAGGTGCCAGCATGGGCTTCTCCCAGCACAAAGTAATCAGCAAAAACCCCTACAGCCTTCTCCCGTGGCTCTTGCACTGCACAGTTTCCCCCCCTGCCCAGCTCAGCCCTGACCTTCATCACCCATCTCCAGGGGGCTCGTCAGAGTGAAAATTACTGTTGGCTTCCATTCCTCCCAGTTTGCTCCAGGTCTGCAGTCCTGCTGTACTGGCTGTGCTGCAGGGTCCTGGACCAGCTATTGGTCCCTCTCTTTTACAAACCACTCGTGTCAATATTCAGACCTGAATGACAGCAGCTGCCAGGCCGGGTACCCATGACTCCCGTGGGCTGCAAATGCAGCCACCCGGCAAGGAGAGGGATTGCAGGGGGTTAAATGACAGTGCAACTAAGAGTAAAGAAACTGGAGGGCAAAGCTTCCTGGCTGAGAGCTCCATTCACAAAATAGTGCTGGTGAATGCCACTGCCTCTTAGGTCTCCCTAATGTGTGCAGTGGCAGCCTGCATGTGCATCCCCTCAAAGCCATCATGAACCCCCAGGCTCTGTTTCTCCAACTCAAAGGCGAGGGTAATTTTGGATAACTATGCCAGCCATCAGCTGGGCCCTGCAGATGAAAAACGCTGGCTTGCCACCTCTGTGCCTTTCCATAATTTCCTTCAGTTCCACCTTTTCTTCCTATTTATAGATTTCCACTATGGACAGAGAGAAGAATTAGAGGACAGAGCTGGCTGAAAACTAATCTGAGGAATTAAAAAAAAAAAAAAAAAAAAAAAAAAAAAAAAAGGGTTCTTTTTTACACACCCTTCGAA